AGAAGAGGTAGAAACCAACAAATCATTTATGCATTTGTTACTTTACAAATTGCTACAAATCATTGATGATTTGTCTAAGATAATTTGGCAACCACAGAGAGAAAAAAAAGCAGCAACACTATTAAAGCAATAAAATAAATTCTTATTTAAATCATAACATAGTGGGAGGGAGTAAAGGAAAAAAAATAACTATGTTTCTCATAATCGTCTTCGACACTTGGAAATATACATATGATCGAAAATGTCAAAATGTATTAAGAAACAGATTTTGTGAAGAGTAAAATATGCCCTAAATATACAAAATATGCACTTCAAAACATGCAATTGCTTATTTCTTATTCCCTGGAAATGGAGAAAACTAATATACGTTATTTGAAATCAAAATCATTATGTATTAAAAAATCTTGTACAAATAATCTTTGGTAAAGTTAAACAATCTTTCAAATATATTTAAATATTATAACTAGAAAGACCATATTTTTAATCTTTCATCAAAATCTTTAAAGAGAAAAATGTGTAAAGAAACATTGTTTAAAAAATTTACCAAATGTGTTAAAATGTTGCTAGACATAGATGAGGACATTCTTTCAAAGAAGTAACATTTAGCTTCAAACTAAAACTAAAATAATCCAATAGCCCAAAATAAAAAAGGAACTGTGTACTGGTACTGCTTCCTTGTGTCTTACTTTAAATGTTTTGGCTACTTAAATTCAGCATTGTTTTCTTTTTTTTTTATTTCCTCACTTTTTATCCCCGGACAGTCTGTTCATCTATTTGTCGTTGTTGGTTTTGTTCTTTTTGGAGAAATACTATTGTATTTTTTTCCAAACATATCAACATTTACAACGCTTTAAATACGTGATAAAGACAATTCTTAGAATGAAAAAGCCTCCTTTTTTACTACTACCTATTTTTTATTGTGTTTCCATTATTCTTGGAAGTTTAACATGCTCTATTAGCGGGAGAGAGTGTTTTACATTTGCATAATGTTGTCTATAAAAAAGGAACAAAACAAATAAATGTAAAGTTAACTCATGAAACTTTTTAATTTTTTTTCTGTTTAATTCTAGAATTATGTGCCAGGTCGGATTATATTAGACTCTGAGAAGTCGCATGAATCTTTAAAAGAAGTGTACAAAATTCTCATTTTTGAAACTGAAATTCTACTTCTGTTCTAGTACTGTTCTAGTTCTGTTCTAGTTCTGTTCTAGTTCTGTTCTAGTTCTGTTCTAGTTCTGTTCTAGTTCTGTTCTAGTTCTGTTCTAGTTCTGTTCTAGTTCTGTTCTAGTTCTGTTCTAGTTCTGTTCTAGTTCTGTTCTAGTTCTGTTCTAGTTCTGTTCTAGTTCTGTTCTAGTTCTGTTCTAGTTCTGTTCTAGTTCTGTTCTAGTTCTGTTCTAGTTCTGTTCTAGTTCTGTTCTAGTTCTGTTCTAGTTCTGTTCTAGTTCTGTTCTAGTTCTGTTCTAGTTCTGTTCTAGTTCTGTTCTAGTTCTGTTCTAGTTCTGTTCTAGTTCTGTTCTAGTTCTGTTCTAGTTCTGTTCTAGTTCTGTTCTAGTTCTGTTCTAGTTCTGTTCTAGTTCTGTTCTAGTTCTGTTCTAGTTCTGTTCTAGTTCTGTTCTAGTTCTGTTCTAGTTCTGTTCTAGTTCTGTTCTAGTTCTAGTTCTGTTCTAGTTCTGTTCTAGTTCTGTTCTAGTTCTGTTCTAGTTCTGTTCTAGTTCTGTTCTAGTTCTGTTCTAGTTCTGTTCTAGTTCTTTTCTAGTTCAGTTCTAGTTCTATACTAGTTTTAGTTCTAGTTCTGGTTCTATTCTAGTTCAAAATTTTTAAAATTTTAAGTAGGGTATTTCAAACTTCCCTTTTGCTTCCTTTACCCTTAATATTAGTGTAATTTTTGTCGCCTTATTAATCATATTCCTACTATTACAACTCCTAAAAATCCTTCTTTGACTTTTGGACTCTTAATGGAATTTGTTGTTGTTATATTTACATATTGTCACATTTAAATGCATTTACAACATACAAACATTTACATACATATGTATGTAAGTAAAATAGTTTAAAATATTTGTATTTATACATATATTTTTGTTATTTTATAAATGCAATGATGCATATACAATGATAAAACGTGAGGTTAAACGTAATTGTTATTGTTGGGAACCTAGACCTTAAGAAACAAACAAAAAACAAATATAATCTTGTTGTTTCTGTTTGTGGTTTAGTGGCATCAGCATAAACTAACTAACTAGTAGCTACTGTTTTAATTTAAGTTTAACTTTGTTAAATTTTTTCCAAACTAAAGACAAATGTCAACACATAAAGTTTGGTATGTTGTTGATTATGAGGGTGTAAAGGGAAATTTCTTAAGGATATATAAAAAATGATATTTTCGCTACTACACAATAAAAAAAAGTTCAATTAAGTAATGCAGAATGTAATGAACGCTTTTAACCATGTTTCAAACTATAACCCGTAATAGATCTCTCTTCTAAACAAAAACCTTTTTTAAAAATCTTTATAATACAAAGTTTATCGAAATTACATTACTTTCCTTTTAATAATATTTTAAGTATTACAAACATTTGTTAACAATTCCAATCAAGATTTACGAAAACAAGCTAAATACGAAAATTTCATATAAACATGCAAATAACATATAATTGAGGTGGTAACTAATTCTCATTATGTTCATCATTTTTAAATTTATTTCATTCACTTTACAATGTGACGACAATTTGTGATTTTTCTTCTGTTGTTGTTGTTGTTGTTTGTATTTCTTTTAACAAGTTTAATGTAACTCTGTTTGCCGTTTGATTACTGGTCAAATAAATTAAACAACCAACGGACAAACGAACACAAAAAACAACATTCCATCAACAACAAAATAACAACAACTGTTGTTGCTGCTGCAATCTTGAGTAGATATGTTTAATATGTAGTGACATCAGCATTTACAATTTAGTAAAGAGCAACAAAAAACTGCGAGAACAAACAAACGTCTGTCGTACAGATTACGTATGATTGAACAAAAGGACGGACATAACTACGTATATGTAGAATGGACGAATGGATGTATGGATGAAAAAAAGAGTAAAGTAGAAGTGGATACTCACATAAAGTACCACTTAACATCAATCAGGCAATGAACACCAGAACTACAGGACAGTTGACATGTGAGTAAACAGTCGGACATACAAAAGAAATGATGCCGCCGCATTTATTGCGCATCATCGTCATCGCCATCATCATCAACATCATCGTCAGCAGCAGCATTAACAACATTGCCAAGCATCTGTGGCAGACAATAACGCGCCAGGGTATCAACTGCATACATCGTACTTTTTTATAAATGCGAAATTTTGTTAATGAGCAAGGATTTTGTTAAATATGAAAAATTGGGGACTTTGGTTAAATTATTTTGCGTCTGTGTATGAATATTCAAATTTTGAATGTATTTACAACGTCTTTACTAAAAAAAATTATAAAGCAACTAAATAGTTAACAGAAGTGATATTTCTTCAAGAAAACTTACTTCTTAAGAAATATAAAAAATGTAAATTTCAATAAATTGATTGGAACTTCGATTAGGAACTACCCACTTGAGCTATTACAAAAAAACAACATAATAATGATAATCTTGATATTCCTATTGTTTTATAAAAAATTATTGATATTCCTATTGTTTTATAAAAAATTATATATTTTAATAAATGCCTAAATGTATACTTGTTAATTTAGCTCTTCTTTAGCTAATCTTTTCAAATTTAACGGAAATGTTAATGGATTGATTAAAAAGAAAACAAATTCCTGAAATATTCTCGAATAAGTTTAATAATTTTAAGAGATAATAAACTTGATTGAATAAATTTTAAAAACTATTTTTCTTATATTTCGAACTTACAAATATCGATGCAGTATAAACTGTTAAAATCTTTTTTTCCGTCAGTTAGTTCTAGTTCTAGAACAAGTTCAGTTCTAGTTCCGTTCTAGTTCAGTTCTAGTTCAGTTCTAGTTCAGTTCTAGTTCAGTTCTAGTTCAGTTCTAGTTCAGTTCTAGTTCAGTTCTAGTTCAGTTCTAGTTCAGTTCTAGTTCAGTTCTAGTTCAGTTCTAGTTCAGTTCTAGTTCAGTTTAGTTCAGTTCTAGTTCAGTTCTAGTTCAGTTCTAGTTCAGTTCTAGTTCAGTTCTAGTTCAGTTCTAGTTCAGTTCTAGTTCAGTTCTAGTTCAGTTCTAGTTCAGTTCTAGTTCAGTTCTAGTTCAGTTCTAGTTCAGTTCTAGTTCAGTTCTAGTTCAGTTCTAGTTCAGTTCTAGTTCAGTTCTAGTTCAGTTCTAGTTCAGTTAGTTCTAGTTCAGTTCTAGTTCAGTTCTAGTTCAGTTCTAGTTCAGTTCTACTTCAGTTCTAGTTCAGTTCTAGTACAGTTCTAGTTCAGTTCTAGTTCACTTCTAGTTCACTTCTAGTTCACTTCTAGTTCACTTCTAGTTCAATTCTAGTTCAGTTCTAATTCCAAATTATATCTAAACATTCACTTCTAGTTCAATTCTAGTTCAGTTCTAATTCCAAATTATATCTAAACATCGTCTGTTGGCTTTGTGGGCTTATCCATGTTAGTTCAATTAATATTTTTAAGGGGTTGAACAAATTAATTTTTTATCCAAAACCATTGAAGGGACGCCTCAAAAATTTCATGAATATCAAAATTTCTCAACAGCTCTAGTTTTGGAGTTAAATAATTTTTGTCTAAAAATAGAATTTATTTACAAGTATGTAAATTCTTTATTATATAAATTTACCCTACATACGGTTTATTTTCTTGTTTATTCAATTTCAAAAAATCCATGGAGATTTATTTATATAACACTTGGTAAACATTAAAAACACACAAAAACAACTCCCTGGAAATAATAACCAAAGCAACGCCTTTCCCAGAAGTCCATAATTGTAAAAATTCCTTAACTGTCGTACATAATTTATATAAAATTCTTGTACATTCTTGACTTCAGTTTACAACATGATATCGAGACGAGATAAACTATTAATTCATCCCTGGGAACAACGCCGCTATGAACATCATAGAGAAAAGGTCAAATCGGCTAAGGCAGCTATAGATCGTACACCACCAGTATTTTATCCGCACATTGTACAAAAGGCCAAAAAACAACAAACGGAAAAGGAACGTACACTTTATGTGGAAAATGAAAATGTACGTTTGCTCCAGCGTTTAGCAGATATAATGAGAACTAAACGTATGCCCGATTTTTGGAGAGAACCAAGACCAAAGTAAGTTTTTATTGTTTTTTTATGTTTTAAAATTTAGTTTTAAGTTTCTGTAATTTTTAGCTTTTTAAGTCGAGAAAAATTATTCGAAGTAAGACCTCGTACCACTCATATGAATTGGACTCCCTTAGAAGGTTTAAAGGAAGCGGTACACAAATCTGCTAAAGCTACCAGGACTAATAGATGTCCCACTTGTAAAGGCCAACCGGAAAGACCCAAAATAGTATGTAAATTTTATTACTGGTAAGAAAACAATGTACATTCCCTTTTTTTCTTTGCAGATAATACCAGAAGAACGTGTACCATGGCAACCGCCACGTTCATCATTTAACATAAAAACTTTACAACAACCTCGATATTAAAGTTTAATTAAAAGACTACAACTCAAATTTAATAACTACAGACACACTCACCCTTCTAGACAATCGTGGTATGTTGATTGTAGTTAAATATGATATTGAAAATTATTTGTAACTTGATTGTTTCTTGTATAAATCTTTTGGAAATCTTGAGTTTGTTTTGTTTTTATTATCTTGTGATTAGGTGTACTAAAATTATCTAGCAAATGCAGGTGGTAGGGTGGCAAATGTTAAAAATCCTGTATGACCCGGTTGTGTGGGTGGCGCTGATGATGTCAAAACCTTCAATGTTTCCTTGGGTTGTTTCATAAGACTTGAAATATCTTTATCACTGGTGGCATCTTGTTCTTCAGGTTTCTAGAATATAATAAAACAGTGGACAGTTAAAATTAGTGACAAAAATTATAAAATATTTTATAAACCTTGTGTTTAAGAAACTCCAAATTCATCACCGGAAATGTTTTGGTTTTGACTACATCTTCTTGCTGTAATACTTCGAATGATTGTATTTCTGTAAATCCCTGTTCCTGTAAAGCAATGCAACAACGTTGTGATTGCTCAATGCAGGGAGAAAATGAACAAAAACGGCCACCTTAAAACACAAATGATATGTTGGAAAAGGAACTATTATTTAAAGATCTAACAATACATACCACTACTCTTTAAAGCCTTAACCGCATGTTCCACTGCCTGTTGAGGAGCTGGTAAATCTAGAAATACTGCATCAGCTTTACCGTTCAGTTCTTCGCCAAAACCATTCTGACACACATCCCGATGATAGACAGTTACGAAATCACCCAAACCGTGATGTTGAAATTCCTCCCGGGCCTGGTTGGCACGAGCTTCATGAAAGTCAAATGTATGCAGATGACCATGAGGCTTAACAGCCCTTAAGAAGTAATGTGACAGCGAACCAGAACCCGTGCCAGATTCTATTACAACTGAACCGGGTCTCACTTCAAGCTGATGCAAAATCATGCTAATATCGGGTGTATATATAATTTGTGTCCTATGTGGCAATGTTTGGGTCCATAATTCGGGATTTGGTTGTAGCACATAGGCCCAACCTTTCGATAATTCAACGCGGCTACCATATTTGACACCAATTATATTTTTCACTTTTAAAGCGCCAAAAGATGTTTGAAAGATGTGTTCGATGGTTTCACCCTTTTTATTTACAATTGTGGGAGTTGCTTCAATGACATGCATAGAATTAACACTTAAATATAAAATAACCGTATCGCCCTCGTCGATTGTATCTTTTGGTTTAAGAAAACTCATTTTATTTTAGACCGAAATAAAAAAACCGCAATTATCAAACGAAAAAATAAACAACTTGAAAAAAAAAACAAAAAATTCTCACGTGTAGGAAAATGTCAAATGCTAAAAGGGATGCCAGATTTTAAGAGCATACTGAAAATTTATTAAGACAATTTTTTTACAGATTTGCAGTAAAATGAGGTGAAATTGCAATTGAAATATATTTCATTTATTATTTTGTAATTTTAGATATTATTTATTTTTAAAAATTAAGTGTATTTTAAATATTATTGCAATCCCATTTTCGTTATGTTATTTCCACAAAGTGGCAACTATATATTTGTTTACTTTTTGTTAACAGTTTACGGTGATTGTTTACAAACAATTTTTTAAAGAAAAATTGTAAGTTTAATTAGCCGACGCCGTAACTATCTTTAGCAAACCACCGACGCCGACATAAAAAGGTCAAGCCGTCGCCACCGTTCCCTTTGCATCGGTACATAACCATTAATTATTTAATTTGTTTTAACCGTGCAATACCGTGATATTTTTTCAACGTTGTATACATACAACGTTTTTTATCTATTTTGTCATTACGATTTTATATTTTAATGTTAAAAGTCTTGCGTAGTACTTTACACACATTTACACCAATCACTAAGCATTCCAGTACAAGGCAGCTGCAATACAAACGTTTCCTAACCACAGCAACGCGTACTAAAGTTCAAGCGGAAATGAGTGAAAAGCCAAAAATTGTGTTTGTTTTGGGTGGCCCAGGTGCTGGCAAGGGTACTCAGTGCTCTAAGATTGTAGAACGTTTCGAATTCGTCCATTTATCGGCAGGAGATCTATTGCGTGAAGAACGTGCCCGTGAAGGTTCCGAAGTGGGTGCTTTAATAGAAGACTACATACGCAATGGTAAAATTGTACCAGTTGAGGTGACGTGTTCATTGCTGGAAGCGGCTATGACAAAATCTGGCAAAACTAAGTTCCTAATTGATGGTTTTCCACGTAATCAAGACAATTTAGATGGCTGGAATCGTCAAATGTCCGACAAAGTAGATTTTCAATTTGTTTTATTCTTCAACTGCTCAGAGGACGTGTGTGTTAATCGTTGTTTGTCTCGTGGCCAAAGTGGTTCCGGTCGTTCGGACGATAATATGGAAAGTTTAAAGAAACGTATTCAAACCTATAACAACGATTCTCTGCCCATTATCAAGCATTTCGAAGAATTGGGTAAAGTGAAACAAATCGATGCTAGCCCCTCGGCTGATGAAGTTTTTGCCAAGGTTGAGCAGGTATTCAATGAAAGTGGCTTCGAGTAAAACCCTTTCAACACACAATTGTTGGAGGTGGTGGTAGTGTTATAAATATTGTTGCTGTTGTTGTTAATTCTCTGCAATTTCCTAGTTAAAGGAGGAGGAGGAGAAGAAAACACTTACACAATGATTATGCCGATTTGCTTACTTTTAAATTCTTGTCTTGTCTTTTAACACGTATTAAAAACTAACATTAGTTCAATTCTTAACAAAAAAAATCGATATAAAATACGATATACTCTATGTTTATGGTTAAACAAAATAAAACTATTTATTAAGCTCAATTTAATATTTGAAATTATCTATTTATTTTGATGTGTTAGGGATGGGTAATTTGTTAATGGATATTTCATGTGTATAGTGCAAAAAGTTTGTGTGTTAAAAAACGAAATGTTTTTAAGATAACTTTGAAGGTTACACAGTGGGCAACGTTAAGTAAAAATATAAACAAAATAAGTTTTATCTGAATTTAACTCACAATTATGATTTTCAACTTCGAAGTTGATCAAAACAACATCGTCTTCAAATTTATTGTTTTGTATATGAATTACATTTAGATTCTGCAAATGATTTGTCTGAGAAAGCTGCGGAAATTATTCAAGTTAGAATTAGAATTATGTTATTTAGAAAAGTTGTGTTTTTTCAAAAATAATAAAAAACTTTATTGCAGTTTTTATTAAAGAACACGTCTTCTAGCCAGCAGACATACATATTTAAAAAAATCCACTGCAGTGCAGACAAAAACTTAACTTTTCAATATACATATTTATATTTGTGTGGCGATTATTCGACAAATGAGTTACCAAATAATTATTAAAATAAAATCCAAAAAATTATTTAAAAACAAAAAGCATTTCCAATCCGAGTTTAATCTCGTCGTAGTTTATCCAAACGAGCCTGTAAATCTGCATCCGCATCTGACATGGGAGTAGACCCACCACTACCGCCAGTAGCTCCGCCTCCACCTGCGACTGGACTGCTAATAGCACCACCAGCAGCTACGGCAGCTGGTGTGTTCTTTACACCGCCTGCTATAGATAATGAACCAGAGGCGGTCGGTAGATCTCCTAACTGTTCGCCCAATTGCAAGCCCAATTCATCTAAAACTTGAGAGACAACGGCATCGGTCTCCTCCTCATCGCCCTCATCTTCCATGGCGTCATCAATAGCATCGTTGATCATTTCCTCTTTCATGTCCATAATTTCTGATTGTTTTTCGAAATCGTGTAAAATCTTTTGGATTTGTGGTAAATTCAATTGACGATTCATATTCTGCATGGCCTTAGTAACGCCTAAAATTAGCCGGAAACTCAATTAATGCTAATTAAATCTATATTATTTCCAAAAGTCAACTTACCCTTCATTGCCTGGGCCATGGTATTCTGTGATTTAAGTGTTTGTATTTTCAGTGACACCGCCTGTATGTTGGCCTTCATTAGCATGAACTTCTTGATGTAGCGGCGTGTGCGTACCAAATCTTTGGCCATTATCTTAACCGCATCCATTTGTCCCTCCTTGGCCATTTTCTTGATGTCGGCTATAATCTTCTTCTCTTGCTGCTCCATTTTCATACGCTCCCTGTCCAAATCTCTCATGGCTTTGTTGAGAGCTCTTTGATTTTTGCGTAGCATCTCATCGGGTGAGATTTTCTTGCCAAAAAGCCAATCCATTTTCAATTATTTTATTTCCTATTAATAGCTTAATATTATAATTATTTAGTTTTTCGTTTTAGTTCTGAGAAGTTGTCGAAAAATTCGGTTTTTATTATAAAATTCTATTTGTTTTTGTCACAACAGAAAATGAAAACATTACTCATCTGTGCTTCTTCTTATTTTGCCAGTAGTCATTCACTGTGAGTGATGACATCATTACAAGTGCCAGTAGGAAATTTTGTAGAAATTACAATTGTACACTGTGAGAAATTTGTGTTTCATAACAAATTCATAAATTAAAAATAATGAATTCGTCCATATTTAAAAAAATTAAATTTTTGTTGTATGAATATGAAAACACATTTTTTCTTCTTGAAAATTGTTTTGATTTATTATTTTTTGTTTTAATTTAATTAAAATTTATTTACTTTTTTCTCACAATTTCATTTAAAGTTACATATATGCACTTTTTACAAAAATACATTTCAAAAAACTTGTTGTTAAGTTTTTATGCTTAGATTTCAACCTTAATTTTAATACAAGTTTAAGTACATTCTATGTATAGTCACAGTTGAAATTATTGCATTATTAAAATTGAATTGAAACTAAGCTAAAACTGAATTTAGTAAAAATTTAAATACAATTGGCAAATTTTTATATAGTCCAAAGATTAATTAACAAATAATAAAATCTTTAAACAATTTGTTAAAATAAATAAAAGAAATAGTAAAAACAAATAAAATAAATAAAATAGAGAGCAACAGTAGTGGTAGGAGTAGTTATATTAGTTTTTTTTAGTAATTGCTTTTTTAGGAAATAAATTGGCTAAATTATTGCAATTTAAGATTGTTTAGTAAACAACTTTAAGTTAAATTTGTGATTAGGTTGCTTTTAGAACTATTTTTAATTCTCTTTATTGTAGCAGCAAACATATTAGTCATCTTGATGATATGAAACATAAACCGCATCGCCACCAATACTTATAAGACATTGACCCTGAAGAGAAAGTAACATTATTAATCCATTTAACTCTAAAAATCGTGCTCAAAACTTACTTGATTTTTATGTTGATTATCGAATAATATTAATTCAGTTAAGTAAAAGGACACCATGGCATTGCCGCCCAAGGCCGATATATGAGCTCTGACAACAGCCAAAAGCTGTTGCAAAATATAGATTTTCATTTCTGTTTACTGATTTTAAAATTTAAAACATTTACTCACCTCTGTGATAAAGCCATGGACAAATCCACTTATGCCACCATTTTCCCTTATAGATGTGCTCTCTCTTATAAAGAAGAAATTTAAATTACCCAAATACTTTTCAATTTTGCCTCCCGGTATAAAACTCAAAGGCGTTATATCCACACCATTCCTTTCGTATACACGATTCTAAAATGTATAAGGTTTTGATAAATATTAAAAAATCACAATTCTCGTTTAGCTAGAACCTACATGTCTTTGACGCATTGATCCGGGTGCTGAAGACAATTGTATGGGTGATGATTTACGATTTTTGAATAATTGTGCTCCAAACAGCGGTATATTGGTGGCTGGTGTTGGTGTCTCCACCATATGATCTTCATCCAGTGGGAAAATATAATCTTCCTCTTGTTGCAGCTGTTGCAATTTTTTATTATTAATCTCACCGGCCGAATAGGTATGACTCATAGAGTTATTACTATCCGATTGGCCATTGCTTATATTTTTACGTTTGTTTTTCAATTTATTGGGATCGCCTAGACCCAAAGCCATGCCGGTTACTAAAATTTGAATTTGATCCTAAATGAAATACGAAATAATTGTTAATATCTATATGTCTATGTCAATCTATAAGTCGATGTCAATATTTATGTCACTGTCTATACCAAAGTTTATATCCATGTCTATACCAATGTCAATACATTTAAAGTATGAGACTTACACTTTCTGGGAAGTCCAATTTAAATTTTAAATCACAAATGGCGCATGGTATCATAGTGCGCAATTTGAAATAAATAATCTGCATCAATCTATAGAAAAAATAAATAAAATAACATATTAAAAACAATGTTTTAAACTAGATTAAGAGCTTAAAACTTAAGTTCGAATTTAAATTCGAATTTTGGAACCTGTTTCTGAAACTACTTTTCGTGAAATAGTTTGAAATTTTTAGACTTTTTTAAAAGACCACATGATCTAGAGATTTTGTTTTCAATTTCGAATTTTCAAAGAAATTATGGAACATTTAAGGTCAATAAATGCTCTCACCTTTGAAAATGCTTGGGAAAACCAGTAACAGTTTGTCCCGTATCGGTTTTTGCCCTCCACACCTGAGTAAACATTTGCAAATTCTTAACCGCCTCCATATCCATCATGCCCGGTACTTTTTGAGTACTAACGACATGAAAACCTTCTGGTGGTTGCGATTCCATTAGCAGTGATATAATTTCTAAATCTTCGATATCATCAACTTCCAAAACACAAGTATCCTTATTGCCGCAATTCAAATCTACATCGACACCTTCTTCATCGGAGTCGTCAGTATCGGAACTTTTATCTAACATATCCTGATCTATGGATTTCAATTGATAGATTTCCTGATAACGTTCAAATGTCTCCTGCAGTTTCTTTTGTAATTCATTTAGTTTTTGCTTATCAGTCCAAGAGTTGCCAGCAACTATTTTAGGTACTTGTGGTACGGGTAATGCTGTGATGAAGAGAGCAGTGCCAGTGGCTACCAAGGCAATCATACGTTCACCTATAGAAACTTGTACTTTCAAGCCAAATATAGCATTCATGCCCTTGGCTTTAAGTTTATTAATAAGCACACGATGCAGTTCGTATTCCAGAAAGGGTAGACCATCGGAAATTTCTTTAGCATTGAGTTCGGAGCGTAAATCTTTTTTGGCTCTAACTACTTGAGCCTGCAGAAAACAACCACGTCCTAAAATTACATAGATTATTGAAGAGAAAAATATTGTATGTTTTAGGCAGTGTTACCTGTTACTTGTATTGACTCGGGTACTTCTAAAGTGGCCAGTAGTACATCTGGCACACGACCCTTTAAGCATATTGCACATTTTTTCATTTTAACATTGAATGGCACCGAGGTGACATTATAGGGTACATGACACACGGTACAGGAAGTTTTTGACACATTTAGCAGACCAGGAAGTCCATAACGTTTACCTACAGAACCATTGGATATACCACTACCCATATCCTTAGAGTTAGGATCACTGTTAATAACATTTCTCTCTTCTAGAGATACTGACATGCCACTGCCACCAGCAGTTTTTGTTATATTGAAAATATCATTTTGGGATATGGAACGATTATAGCCCATATTTATAATGGCCGCAGTGCCAGTGGCCGAGAGAACACAAACATCATCGCTGTTTTAAACAAAATTTATTTTTTTACAACTTTTTTGGTTTTTAAGAAAAAATTTAGTACTACTTACGATATAGTGGTTAACTCGGAATAACCTAGCACCACATTACAACCTAAAGATCTGGCATGTGATCTAATCTCCATGCGCAATTCTGTCCACCAGGAATCACGGATTTCTGGCTCATCTGGATTGGGTACTCTTTCCAATAGCTTTACCGATCTAGCCGCCACAGTTGCTCCAATATGTAATATAAGACCAGGTGGATATTTGGTCATAGTTAGAAATGGATATTCCAACATATCCATGCCTTCAGAATTTGATGATTTACCTATAGCTGGACCCATACGCATCATAGCTGTTGCTGCCATCAAACGATCACTGGCCACACAAAATGAATTTCCTAAACGATAACACCAAAATCACTGAGAGAACTTTCAATGTGGAAACAATTATAAAAAGAATACGGAGAGAGTTAAACATTGACAGCCATTTGGTGGATGGACATGTGTCAGTGAATGAGCGAAACAGTGAGTTAGTTAGTCAGAGTGAATGGAGAAGGGAGTGAAATGGATGTAAATGTGTAAACGTGAGTGATGGATGCATATTTATAAGAACTACAGGCAAGGATATACATTTCGGTTTTGTATTATATTATATGTCTATAGTTTTTCAACTTAAATACCACAAATAGTTAAGATTAAAAGTAGTAGCAGTAGTTGTAGTTTTAGAAGTTGAATGTATTGGTTTTATTATCTATCAAGAGACACATTTCATACCATTGCTCTCATGCGAATATTACTTTTTTTAATTTTTCTTATTACTGTATGTACATAGACAAAAAAACAAAAAAAGATATACATCATATACTATATAAATTTATCTATTTATGTTTATTATTGTTACAAATCCATGCTGATCTCGCTCACAAGGTATTTTTAATATTAATTGATCAATTTTGAATTTTTGGTATTTAGCTTTTCCATAAGTTGTTTGAAATTACATAAGTATGTATATATTTCTACATAAATATTGCTCATCGGGGTTTTATATTTATATCACTCAACTTTGCGAAAAGTCTAAACATATATAAGTTTGATATTTCATTTGCAATTTTTATATTCTGAATCGTTGAAGACAGCTGAGTCGATATCCTTTGTTTGTCGTTATTTTTTGTTGAAAATAGTTTTCTAAGAATATCAATTTTTATGTTGTTTCGGAATTTTGCTGATATATTTATTACTTATATATATGTATATTTTACTATGTAATATTGTTATTTTGGCCAAAGTGGTGTTATATTACTGAATAAATAAATAAATAGCAAAATTCTCGAAAACATACATATCATAGAATTATCGAAGAAATTAAAGATATCTAGGGTTCGTAGAAAATTCACCGTTATTCTGCATTCGAATCGAAGTTTTCAATCATATTATGTGTATATAGTGTAGACTATAGTCTATAGTATGGACTATAGTCTGGACTATGGAGTAGACTATAGTTTGGATTATAGTGTAGACTATAGTCTAAAATATAGTATGGACTATAGTCTGGAATATGGAGTAGACTACAGTCTGGACAATGGAGTAGACTATAGTCTAAAATATAGTATGGACTATAGTCTGAACTATGGAGTAGACTACAGTCTGGACAATGGAGTAGACTATAGTCTGGATTATAGAGTAGACTATAGTCTGGACTATAGAGTAGACTATAGTCTGGATTATAGTGTAGACTATAGTCTAAACTATAGTATGGACTATAGTCTGGATTATGGAGTAGACTATAGTCTGGATTATAGAGTAGACTATAGTCTGGACTATAGAGTAGACTATAGTCCGGACTATAGATTAGACTTTAGTCTGGACTATAGAGTAGACTATAGTCTGGATTATAATGTAGACTATAGTCTGGACTATGGAGTATAATATAGTCTGGACTATGGAGTATAATATAGTCTGGACTATGGAGTAGACTATAGTCTGGATTATAATGTAGACTATAGTCCGGACTATAGTCTGGACTATGGAGTAGACTACAGTCTGGACAATGGAGTAGACTATAGTCTGGATTATAGAGTAGACTATAGTCTGGACTATAGAGTAGACTATAGTCCGGACTATAGATTAGACTATAGTCTGGACTATAGAGTAGACTATAGTCTGGACTATAGAGTGGACTATAGTCTGGACTATGGAGTATAATATAGTCTGGACTATGGAGTAGACTATAGTCTGAATTATAGAGTAGACTATAGTCTGGACTATAGAGTAGACTATATATAGTCTAATTAGCTGAACTAAAAGCTACCATCAAAAAATTAATCTTCGAAGGTGAAATAGATTTGTTACTACCACAATGGTTTGTTTAAACCACAGATAAACTTCTGATGTTAGTAAAATCTAACCCAACAAGATGTTTAAATAAACAACAATAAAATTTGATAGGAATATTAAAATATGAAAAAATTATAACATCTAAGTTTAAAAGTTTTAAGAATCCAAAATTTCTCTAGATTTTAGTTGGATAAAAGGGACACAACTTTTCCTATATGATAATTTCTTAAATACTGACACTATCATCATATTTCAAAATAACTTGCGAGCCGAAACAACAAAGCGAGGAATGACAAAGAAATTAGACGAAAAATATAATTATACACATACTCGAGAATTTACTTATGTTGGAGAAAAACGTTTAAGTAAAATTAGGTTTTTACAATACACCTACACATATGTAAGAAAAGTAGTAGTAGTACATACAATTAAATTTAGGATACACAAAAAAAAAACGTACAAAGAAATAGTTACAATATTGTACATAGATTTAATGTACAATTTGCATACACTCTACTTACTTTTACGATGTATAACTGTTTTTATTTAATTATTAAGAGCAGGTTTATGGATTTGTTTTTTAGAGATTTTTTTTGTTTGTTTAACGAGAGCATGGCAGTGGAGAGTAGAGTAGAATACATATACAATAGTAATAATAATAATAATAATGTTAGGATGAAATGTTAATTCATTTAAATAATAATAATAAAATTATTCATTAATTGTCCTAATGAGTTGCTACACATGGACAGAGCACAGTACAGACACTCAAACACAAAAACACGCACACACATACAAATGTCTTATATAAATTGTTTTAAATTTAAACTAAATAGTATAGAATCCTTTTGCAGGATTTAATTTTGTTTGTGTTTTAATTCAATAAATACTCCATTATTTTTCTGAAAATATTTAAATTAGCGGACATTTTTATACAGTTATGGTTTTAGTTTTTTAAATCTTCTTTATTATCTATTGCAATTTACATAAAAATCGTGTTTTTTATTTAAAATCAGTTGAATTTCATAAGTAATATACATAATATTAAAATTTCGAATACTTCATAAATAACTTATATTCAAATATAAGAACTTTTTCTTAAATTAAAGAATATTTTAACAGATTTAAAATTTTGTCGAACATAAAATTCGAATTTTCGAAATTTTTAAGTATACTGTAGACATAAATATTTTAAATTTTTTCTAAATAATTTCGAAATTTCGAACACAATATTGCATAGTTATCAGGTGAATTCATTCCGAAATTAAGTTCGAATATACATACATACTAGTTCCTTTTTATAAAATTTGATTCTTAAAACTTTATGAAATTCAATTGAAATTACGCGCCCTTACCCAAAAAACAACCCCAACTTACAACTATGAAAAGCACAAATTTGAATATAAAAAAACAATAAAAACTCCAACATACCTTTTGGTGTAACACTTAAATCCGAATCTGAAGAACGTCTAGCCATTTCACCCACCTCTTTGGGAATAATTGTTGTAGCCGTTGATACGGTAGTAGCCGACGATAGACTATCCGATTGAGATTGCAAACTCATGGGAGTAACTACGGCACCAGTCCGTGAAGGTGTAGGAGACATTTTACTGCGATTGCCAGCAGCAGGAGCAGCAAACGTATTTCCCGCTGTAACCGTTTCATCCATAAGTGATGTATTGGGCGAAATAGAACTTCTTAGATTTGGACTATTATTGTTGGAAGTACAGCTGCCACTGCCATTGATTTCATTTAAAGACCTATGCTGACCGTAATGTTGTTGTTGTTGGTGGTGGTGTTGATGGTTGTTTGGATGTTCGTGAGGGATAGCAGTGATATTGATGATGTCAGCATTAGAAGTGAATGGAACAAGCAATGATTTTTTAGCATTACAATTAGTATTTTTATCAATGAGCCCTAAATTCGAATCACTGTTAGGGGAGTACAACACAGATGCATCAAAATGTTTGCTAAAACGACCACTGGATGCTGGCCTTAAGCTGGCATTATCTCTAACCGTTGTATGGCTAAAGGGAAAGAGGCTATTGTAGGGTTTTGCATGGATATCTAATGTTTTACTACAATATGGCGACAGCTGTGATGCCGAACTTTCCGATTCGGAGGGAGTGGGAGTTGAGGGGCAAAGCTTTAAAACGGGAAATTTAAATTTACCCTCAGTAGTACTGGCTAAAACAATAGATGCTGGACGAGTATTGAAATTCTTTTTTATAGTTTGTTTGCAAGCTAAATTAGCTGGTATTAGAGCTATATTTACATTGTTAAGAGATTGTGAGTGCATATGAGTATTAGCGCTATTAGTTGCAAAATTAACTAAATCGGGCTGTGAGGAGAAACGTCTACCAGAATTAAAGCTAAATTCATCGGGATTTTCTAAAATGTCCGAACTATTGTCGTCAGCTTTCTGTAATAGAAGTGGAGAGGAGTATTGATAGAAAGAAGAATGTAAGGTAAAAGCTATGAAATAAACTCCACCATAATAACAACGGGGAAAATACATATCGTTTTTAATTCTACACAATGCCATACTATGGTGGAGTTTACCCAATGCTTAAAAAAATTAACCTTATCGTCTGTAGCAAGCAAACAAAGTTGCTTGAGTGAGGCTACATTATGAGTTTTTTTATTGGCAACATTGCCTTCGACGTTTGCCACAATTTTATGCATTTCCAGACAAGAGGACATGTCTACATTGTGTGGAAAATTACAAGAACATTGTTCGGTAGAACACACATCCGGAGATGATTGTGTGCTTATGGACGATTCCGAGCCCACTCTTTGAGCTTTTGACGTTGTCTTATGAATTAGAGTATTAAAGGATGGTGTCGGCTGCTTCATGGCCGAATCATCACTGACAGATCGCACAATAGGATGTGTTGTTTTTTGCAATTTCTTACTAGTTGTTATGGGTTCACTGTGCGTCCAACTTTTTTTCGCTTTACGCACATCCAACATAGAATTCGATTCTGATCGCATGTTCACATTTTTGGTGGGAAAATATATAACACTACTTAGGGATCTTGAACCACTAGAGGATGATCTTGAATGTTCATCAATTTTACGCATCAATAAAGCATATTTATCATTTAAAATATTACGTGATGAATTGGTAAGATGCTTCATTTTATGAGTAAACTTTTTTATGCGTCTACCGCCACGACCCTCCTCTTGTCGTATAAGATCCATCATTAGCTGTGACTCGGGATCTGAATCGGCTTCTCTGACATCTAACAGAGAACTATCGAAATTTAGTTTACTAAATGACAACGTTGAAGAAGACTTCTGACGGGGATTTATACTAGCGCCTGTTAAAAATTCTAAATATTTTAGAGTGCGTCTATTTTTTATTAAAAGCGCATTGGCAAGAGTGTTAGAATAATTTGATAAATATTTGTTTATGAATACAGAGAGAAGAGCAACAATTAACGTTTTAACACATATGCATTTTTTGGGAGGTTAAACGATACGATTCGAATTAGTGATTCAGAAAAAGAGATTAAAATATTTTATTTAGAAATATTGTAAAACCTGTTGATTTTCAAAATTTTGGAGAATTTTCATTTTTTTTATTGGATTTTTGAAGAGTTTTTTAATTATAAAAATTAAAGGAAAATAATTAAAAATTATAAAAGTGTTCGATATAAGTGAAGTTGAGAGTCCTTTTATTAACGAACTATATTTAACAGTTTTAACACCATTGTACTCTGTAAAAATCTTGTGATTTGTTGAATTGAATTGAATCAAAATTAAGATGTTATGTTAATGAAGTTAACAGATTGTACTAGATGTTTACAGAATGCGTTAACTTACAGAGCTGCCATTAATCAAAATGCTGTAAACAACATTATTATAACAATTCAAAAGTTTAACTGTTATGTTAACAGAATTTCCGAGATGTTTACAGAATACGAAAACTGACATAAAAAAATGCAATTTTCGGATTAAACCTGATATTATCGAAACTGTATAATCCGATGGAAACGATTTAGAATTTTAAAAATATTTCTTCTACTTTTATTCAAACACTTTCTAAAAAGAATATTTTCATAAATATACTCACTCTTCAATTAAAGCATTGTCTGCCGAAGCTGGTTGATTAGTAGTGTCTTTGATCAAGGTCACAGCAGTGCCTATGCCACGAGCCACCACGCCAACATCACCTTCTAAATCGAAGCATTGCGTATAAGCTATAACAGCATTGGCGCCCATATTTATGGCTTTCAGTCCCATTTTTCGCTGAACCTAAAGCAAAATCACAACTTTTACAAAGTTTTCTATGCATATCTTAAATTTATTACTAACCTGACCCGATAATTTCAGAAAAACCACCTGACGAGCTTCATTGGAAGCTCTAGGTGTTCGTATCTTGTCAATCCACTGATATTCAGGATCATCATTGACCACTAACTCCTCTACAAAACCATGAATAACTTGAGCACGATAACCTATAGGTATACAGGGAGCTAGAAAGCCAAAAACAGAGAATTAAATTTCTCCTACATTTCTGCACTTTTCCTAAACCTACAATGGAAGAACGGTATGCCACAGGAACTCTGGCGAAATTTGTTAACATCTGAAAATAAATCCACTTTGACAATGACATTGACTTCACCACGTATGCCGTGCATAGTATCGAACACTGGTATCCATCCAGAAAGGACAGTGCCTTTGCCTTGGGTGGTTTGGCCGGAAGTTTCTAAACATAAGGGATTTAAACCAATATTTACTTTGCCAATGGCATCATTAGCCGAGTAGGTGTCATGGTCCATAAGACGTATCTGCAATGGTTCATCTTGTAGCTCTGCATCATCAACTTCAAAACGAAACCTTTAAAAGAAAAACACACATTCATATAAATATTCAACTATACCTACAGAAACTATTATTAGTTATTAAACTGATTATCTTTCAATTGATTACTATCATTATTGATAACAGCTCAAAAACTACTGTTTTTTACTGGTCAAACCTACCAATCTGTATTCCATTGTGGATTAAGACTTTTTCTACAGACATCAGTTTTGTGTGTCACATTGCCCAATTTAATTTCTACGTAGGCATCTGTTGTGTCCGATGATTTGTCCATAACAGGCAGATTCCTGCCAGCTTTAATCTTGACACCCACTTTGCCTGGCATTGTTCATTTGGTGGATTTTTCTCTGGACAAGAAAAAAAGCAAACAAAACTTTTTACAATCTACAACTTCAACACAGAGCCCCGCGCCGACAAATATTAACAGCACCGGCGACTGCTATTAGAAATGTGAGCGGCGGCTTAAAATTTTCAACGATATTAATTAAAAACGGAATCCGAGTGATTAAAAAGTGGAATTTTGAAAGCAAATATGTATTTTAAAAATCTGGATTGTCTACTAGATTAGGAAATTTTTGTATTCGTAATCAGTGTTGCCACTCTGGTTATTATTAACCAAAATTGGTTATTTTTATTTTGCATGTGTACATGTGAATTATTTTTTCGTTTTGGTTATTTTTTGCAAACAATTGAACTAAATGCTGTTTGCTTTTATTCTAAAAATAATTGCGATATATGCAAAGATTTGATATTCATGACCTTTGATTTCTACTAAATATCTCACCATGACTTTTAGTTCTTTATTTACATTTTTTTATATAATGTTGTATACTTGTTTTTATTTTACCGCCTTAAATTCTAAATTTTGGTCAATTTGTCGGATAATGTGGATAGATTACGTTTACAAATATTGCTGAAGTTATGAATGTAAAACTGAAATATTTTGCCAAAATATTTTTAGTTGACCTAGTTTGCTTGGTATTGAAAATGCGAAATATCGGTCAACAATTTCACCTAGCCCCTATATTATGCCCTATTCAGAAAATTACTATATTGCTTAAAAAAGCATGTATAGCGATGAAATTCAATATAAAAAAGTTTTATTGGAAATGTATTTGTCAAAGTTTATGAGGATCGGTATATAATTGACTCTATCCCTCATAAAAAGTCTCCTCAGAAAATTACTTTAAAGCTCATAATGTACTGCAATATAGCAACAAAATTCAACATAATCAAGTTTTAAAGGAACTATAATATCTCTGTCAGATTTTATGAGAATTGGTTCATAATTGACCATACGTCTCATATAAGATTCCTACAGAAAATTACTTTAACGCTCATAACTGTCTTCATAATACCAGTTTAGCGACGAAATTTAACATAGTTACAAGTTCCACTTCAAAAGCCGTCTTTTATACAAATTTATAGCTTTGTAGAGAATGTCTTCACGGACCTAGAGGATATAACCTGGCTAGGTATGTAGATGTTGTTTGGGCTTTATGTCGACTTTAGATCCCTTATAGTTGTCACACTATACCAAATAAGCATTCTTGCTGGAATTAAAGTTTAAAACAAGTTTAATTCCAGTAAAACATTCAAATTTCAAGTGTTGAAATACACTTTCATTACACTTTAATTCAATAACATTCTCCAGTGAAAACGAAACTTGAATTCAAGTCGAACATTACAATATTTTTACAGTATAATTCAATGCACGAAATCTATATACATATGTACATACATACGTATATAAAATTCTAACGTTACTGACTGACTGATCATCATCGTAGAGCCTTGAAGCTAAAGAGCTGAAATTTGGGCAGGAGGTGGGTCTCCCACCAAATGTATCCAATAAGACGGGATTTTTGGAATTTTTTGAGAGTTAAAAAAGGGTAAAAACATAAATTCGGTAACCTCAAATCTCCTAAACTAGAAAAGTTACAAAAACAGTTGAAGCTTATCGTTATTCATTTAAAAAAAGCGGACTGGTGTCAAAAAATATTTTTGAATCCTTCATAACTTGACGAACAAATAAAAATATGAATTTAGTACTTTTTGGATATTCGGACGTTTAAGGGGTGTTTTTGGTACTTTTTTATAAAACATTGTTTTTGGTTTATTAACTTATACATATGAATACATAATAACGGGCTCCCAATACGATGTTGCAACTGGTACTTTTTTGACTTAGAACCTAGAAACATGTAATTAAGCACTTGAGAATCTATAAAAGTGGACTTTTTGGTACTTTTTCGTTCTTCAAAAGGTACTTTTTGAGTTTTCTATTAAATTGAACATAGAAACATGAAATTATGCACGTAGAGCCTGGAGTAAATGAGAATCTATAAAATGGCACTTTTTGGTACTTTTTCGTTCTTTGACTGATACTTGTTGAGCTTGCTACAAAATTTGAACCTCGAAACATGAAATTAAGCACTTAGAGCCTGGAGTAAATAAGAATCTATAAAATGGGAACTTTATCGTACTTCGACTGGTACTTTTTGAGTTTTCCATAAAATTAAACCTAGAAACATGAAAATAAATATGTATGTAGAGCCCGGAGTAAATTATAATCTATAAAAAGGGACTTTTTAGTACTTTTTCGTTCTTAGACTGGTACTTTTTGAATTTTTTTATAATATTGAACCTAGAAAAATTAAATTAAGAATGTACAGCCCGGATTAAGTGATAACATTTAAAAGGGGACTTTTTGGTACTTTTTCGTTCTTCGACTGGTATTTTTTGAATTTTTTATAATATTGAACCTAGAATCATGAAATTAGGAATGCACAGCCCGGATTAAGTGAGAATCTATAAAAGGGCACTTTTTGGAACTTTTTCGTTCTTCAACTGGTTCTATTTGAATTTTCTATTATAATGAACCTAAAAACATAAAACTAAGCAATCAGGGACTTGAGTGAATGAAAATTTAAACTGGAGTTTTTCTCGTAATTTTTCGTTCTTTAACTGGTACTTTTTGAATTTTCTAAAATATTGAATATATGAACATAAAATTAAACACGCAGTATCCTAATTGAACGAAAATTTATCTCGCTTATGTCCATTTTGCAAAAAGGGCTCGATATCAATCGAAATCTCTATATGCCATAATTGACCCTGCCCCCTTCAATAATTGATTTTAATGTTTTTTAAGTACTTAATATGTTGCAGTGGGACTTTGGGGTGCCGAACGTAGGGTGTATATTAAAAAAACATTTTGCGTGGGGGTACCCTAGTCCAACGATTTTCGAGCACTATGATTTGGCCAGCGACACCAGCGCCTTACCCCTTGGCCGTGCTCTTATATATTTTTTTTAAATTTTAATATTTTTCTTAAGTCGGAATGGTCTACTTTTTTTGATTAGTGGGGATTGCCAATCCGCAGTAGATCAGACATACGAATCGCAGTTAAGCCCCGCTGTTTTTACCTGAAAAGACAAGAAAATTAATAAAATTGTAAAAATGTGACCAGAACGATACCACAGGCTATACAGAGGCGTCACGAGCAAAAAACTATTTCCCTCTCTTTCGCACAAAACGAATTCAATAATTTTTTTAGCTGTATTTTATATACCTCTTCTCACCAAACAATTTCAAAATCAAACAAAAGCTGATTTTAGACTTTTTTAAATGTCAAAAGTGACACCTCTGTATACTTTGTGACGATACTTACGCTACCATGTTTTGTTTTCTTAATGAAAGTAAAAAACATATGTTGTCCAGTGTTGGTAAACGTTAATATGTATGTTCAGTGTTGGGTTCTATTGTGAATGATTTTTACAGTAGAGTGCGTAGTAATGAGACGAATGAATGAATTTACGTTTCCTTTTCGTTTTAAAATTTATGTGTTATATCGTCGGCGTGTCAAATGTAGATAATTCAAATTAAAGTGAGACAAAGGGTATTTAAAAAGATAAATTTTCGTAGAAAGAGATATATGTATATATGTTCAGATACCCAAATTTCGAGGGAATTAAAAAAAAGATGGCTGTATTGGAATGGTCAGTTAACCCAGAGTAGACATGAATTTATAGGTTGTAAATTAGGTGAGATGAGAAAGATTCTGAACGTTAAGGAGTGAAGACCGTAAAAAGTGCACTCAATACTAAAAATAAAAATTTAAATTAAATTAAAAATTTATCTAAAATAAAAGAAAAGGTAACACAACAATTTATAAGAAAAATATATAATATTTGTCGGTCAATATATATGTGTATTTTGGTATCTATGGTATAGCAAAAGCTTGAGGCGTTAAATTTTATTAAAGAAGAGGGAAAAAACTAAGGTTACCGCAACAGGGAAAGCTAGAAATAACAAGAAGTGTGATCCTGCAAAATTTTATGAAAAAATTGGAGAACGTAAGTTATTAGATATTTATTAGTTTTTCTGGGCAAAAGCTTATGAATATTAATATTTTGAAATAGCTTGAGACTGGTTTCTATCTGGAGCAGGACCAGAATCAATTCATAACGGAAACCACACTCTTCCTGGGAAGAATCTCGGAAAAGGTTCTCCAGAAGTTTAACTCCCCATAACCAATAACAGGTAACCTTATCTTTATATATACATGCATAAAAGCAAAGATTAATAGCCGAGCAAAAGACAAGAAAATACGATGTAAATAATCTGAGAGGATAATTTTTATAATATTAAAGCTGTGTATCAGCAAATCCAGAACCGAATTTAGGGTTAAAATTTCTATTATTGTTATCCATTAGTTTTAAGTAGTTCATTTAAAAAGTATATGTATATTTGTTTGTAATTAGTGTGCCTCGCAAGGAAAGAAAAATATCAGGTTGTAGGAACACTAACCAAAAGAAAACCACGTAAATATTTTATAAGTTTGATTTTTTTTAACGTAGATACTTCCCCCTCGATTTAAAGAGCTCTTTAGAACAGGTACAGGAAAATTAAATAGTAAAGACCATATCGTGTATCTGGCAATATTGTGCTGGAAAAATAAGCGTTTTATTTTGGGTAAGATTTGTTTCCTGCGGCGTGTAAAAACGCCTGATAGCAGTCATTGTGAATATCACTAAGAGATTTTAGAGACGTTAGTAAAAATTTAATTGTTATATTGTGTCATCATACGTCATTTTGTATTTAATAATATTTTAGTTTATTTATTCATTTATTGTTTTAATTCAGTCAACATTTTATTAAATAAAATTATGTTTTACATTTACCCCCTTATTCACAAACAAAATTTTTATTTTATAAACGGTTTATAAATTAGATTTTGTATGGACATTTTGTTTTATAAACCTTTTATAAAATACAAATTTTGTTTGTGAATAATGGGATTAAGATATAATCCTAATATGAAGGCTTAATTTAATTACAAGTAAGGGGTTGGAAGAGAGAAGGTAAGTGGTGAGCTGCGAGCGGTCTAACGGGGTTACTTTGGAACGTGAGGAAATAGTAACCATGGTTGGGATGGGCGGCTGGAGAAACATCTATCTCCTGTTGTGTTGATGTCAAATGTAAAGTGTTAGTTTCTGTAATGTTAGTTACTTTCTTTTTTTTTTTTGTTGGTACTGTCCTGAGTCTAGGTTGAAGAGAGAGACCACCTCTGAGTATGTTATGCCGAAAGTTAGTCAGGCTACGATTCAGCCCAGTGCTCCTTAGGGACACGTAACAAATAATACCATAATAAAACAATTTTTGTTGGAACGAAAATATGTAATGCAAATATGTATATGAAATCTTCTTGAGAAAATGACTTAAACGCACATAAATGGATTTCAAATGTCGATGTCGACGAAAAAAACATTTTTAGGAACCGAAACCTACATTTATGAAAAAATACATATTTCAATACATCATTCCAAAAGTTATCATTATGATAGAATTATTGTAGAATTTTAAAAAAAAATACTTTAAATTATATATATTATTGATCCAATTCCACATTTAAGTCCCTAATCCGAAAATCACGGTGACGTTCTTATTAATCTAATGTTCTTATTAATCTAATGATCTTATTAATCTAATGATCGGACCACTTCCGAAATTTGCTTTTTTACGACATATGATTTGCCGAATATAACTCTTACTTCTTACTTATTTTAATCATAAATTACCGCTAAAATAGGAATAGTCTGCCTTTAGAGTTGCGAGTTTTCATACATTCTAATAATGTTTTCAAAGTGAAACTTTTGGAATATTTTTCAATCTCTTTGGGATCCCTTTAAATGATGTTGTTCTGGAAGAACTTTAACATCCATGTAAACATTTTGGGTAATAAATTGGGGGACTAGCAATGAGGGGAGCGGAACCTCCCATATGAATTAAATACAAAAATTCGTTTATCTGGGAAACTAATAGAACTAAATTCTTCAAATTTTGCACGAAGAACTTTAATATTCATCTGAACATTTTGGAGAAAAAAGGGCGGACTTTCATCTGGGGGCTTGGAGCTCCCATATGAATTAAATAGAAAAATTCGTATATCTGAGAAACTATTAGAGCTAGAATCTTCAAATGTTACTGAAGAACATTTAGAGAATAACGGGCGGACTTTCAATGGGGGCTTGGCACTTCCCATATGAATTAAATACAAAATTTTGTATATCTGGGAAACTTTTAGATTATTCAAATTTTTCATAGATTAAATTAAAATCTTAATTAACGTTCGGAATAATTGGCGAAATTGCAATAATTTGCGTGGAATCTCCCATATGTAACAAATTGTATATCTGGAAAACCATTGTAGTTAGAATCATCAAAATCATTAAGTGGGTTTCTTATTTATAGTGCTTTTAGGGTAGCACAGCACACTGGGAATAGCTAGTAAATAAACAAATAAAATATCTTTGTTTTTACGTTATTGATAATTTTCTTAATGCAAAATTTTTTAGAAACTGATTTTCTGCAAGATGTTTTATATGGAAGATAGGGTTAAATATCGGCAGATCCTATTCATCCCTGCATAATTTCTCACACAACTTTTGAGCTTGCTCTGTTTTGTTGTTATAAACAATATATTTGCTTCCAAAATCCCACTTTATGATCTCTCGGATTCCGTTTTATTTAAAATCGTTGAAAAATTAAAAACTAAACGTAGTTGAAAACTTAGCCGGCTTACAGTCGATTTTAAGCCGCCGCCGACATATTTAGTGTCAGTCGCCGCCGCCGTTAATATTTGTTGGCACAGGGCTCTGCTTTAGATGCCAGAGAAGAAAAATCGATATTTTGGCAGCCATGTTTTTTTAAGAACCTAAACGTAAAAATTTGCAGCGTCTTGAGAAAAATATATAAAATAAACTAAAATTAAACATATTCAATTAGAAAAAACAATGCCAATTCATTAAATAAAGTGCATAAAATAGTATTTGTGAAAAATTTGTAAAAAGTTAATTGAAAATAAATAAAAACTAAAGTTTGCCGGGACGTAGCCGCAATCTTTTAGGTGAGACGAAAAGCAAAAAACTACTTGGTGTAATTTGGTAATTAATAAAAAAAATGGAAGCTCCACCGACTACAATCGATACGGCACCGGTGACCGGTGGTGTAGCACCCACACGTGGCCGTGGTGGTGGAATGCGTGGTTCTTACGAACGCGGTAGGGGCAGAGGTATGGGTAGGGGACATTTCGGAGGTGTGGGTGGACCTGGAGGTTTTCCAAGTCGCGGTGGTTATGTACCACGTGGTGGAATGGGTGGACCACCAATGGGTTATCCTGGCCGAGGCGGTTATGCTCCCCGTGGGGCGCCGCCCATGCGTGGCGCACCCGGTATGGGTGGTCCGGGTGGTTATCAAGGGCGGGGTGGTGCACCTAGGGGAGGTCCACCAATGAGAGGAACTGGTCGTATGCCTTTATACAGTCAACGTAAGTAGTAAAAAAAATCAATACCGTGTGTATGAATAATTCTGTATGTATACGTTGACGATTTGAAATTTTTAGCACCAAAGCAACATACTGGGGTGGATAATAATAAAACCGTATCGCCTGTACAAGCTAATGTGGCTAATCAAGTAGTAGCAGGAACAGAAGAAACAACAACAAATTCAGTTAAACCGGCACCAGTTACAAATACTGATCCCAATGCTACAACTACGGTTGCGGCCGCTGCTCCCATCACATCCAAACCTATCTCAACAGGAGTTTCACCAAATTATAGAGGTACTGGACGTGGTAGAGGTATGGGAGGACCTCGTGGTCGTGGTGGTTATAATCCTCATAATGGTTCGGCTGGCATGTCTTCTATGTACAGTGGTGGACCACAAATAGGTGAACATGGAGTAATGCGTCGTGGTGGACCACCTCGTGGACGCGGTCAATATTCAAATACTGGCATGACACGACCACCAATGATGCAACAACAGCCTCATGTTGTCAATACACAAGTAACACAACCAAATTCACTGAAGCGTGGAGCACCCGGAGGACCACCAGGTCCCAAACGTGGTCGTTATGAGGGTGGACCCTATTCTCAACGTGCACCGGCTCCTAAATACCATCAACCACCACATATGGCACCACCAACGAGTTATGGAGTACAACATCAGCAGGCTCCACCACCACCACCTCAAAGGTACTTATTTTTTTGTTAACTTTCAATATTTGTTACTTCAATTGTTATTTCTTTAATTCTAGCCATCATGCTTATGCTCAACATGATCCATCACAAACGATGGATCCCTATGCCCAATCATATGCTGCTCCTCAAACACAGGCACCATATAATGGTTATGGTCAAACGACAGCTTATTCTCATGCAGCAGCGCCAACTCATCCCACAGCACATCAAGCCAACAGTGGTTATGCCACACATGCTGCTACCGAGTATGATCAGAGTCAATATCAAGGTTACAGGTAAGATATTGTTGAAAATACTTCAGAGCTACTAAATAATTAAATATTAAGGTTTTATTTGCATAAAGATCTGATTTTAATTTTGTTTTACGATTTTTATCTATAAATATTTTATTGAATATGTTATTTATTTTAATTTCAGTTCGGCTTATGCCCAACCAGACACACGCTATCAAACATATGGCCAAGACTATACACAACAGTATGGTGCTCCTGCTGTTGATTATAGTACATCTCAGGCAGATTATACACAACATGCTCAGCAAAGCTACGATGAAAGAGCATATGCCGGTTACGGTAAGTCCTTTTTCTTTCTTTAATGTTATAATAATTTGCAAAGTCCGTCCGTTGAATACTCTACATACCATCTTCACTATGAATTTTTAGAATCTTAGGGTCAATAAAAAAATAATAAAACATAGAAAAATAAGAAAAATACTTTGTTATTATTAAAATAGCTAACAACGTTAATTTACGATCGACGAAACAAATCTTTTTTCTTCATTCAAATAGACACACAATCGTATCAGCAAGGCTACACCAACTCTACAGGATACTATTAAAATATGATAAATATATAAAAAAGTAAATGATTTAAACAATAACAGATTGACATAAAATACTACTACCACAATAACGCTGTGCGTGCCGATGATACAGTTTGCTGCAACCTTGAATTATAAATCATTGAGTAATGCCAAAAAAGAAAACATAAAATCTATAACAAAAATTATCAACATTAACAGAATCAACGTGTTGCATGCCCCTTAAAGTAAAGAATACAAAAATATTAAAGCATCATAGATTGAAGAAAAAGTACTTTAGAAAGAAAGAATAATACTTTTTTGTTTAATTTTGTTTCTTTTTAATTCAAAACTATTAGAATTTAGTCAGTCATTCACACTTTCTTAATTAAGTGATTAAATTTTATATATATTAAGCTAAACAGTGTATAAATTATTCTACATTTACTTAAAAAAAAACAAAACAAGTGACAAACAACAAAATCTAAATATATTATTAAAATATTAACAAATAATAATAATCGGACAAAGTAATGACTCCTGCAAATAAGTCAAAAATCTACATATTTCTTAATTTTTGTTTAAGAATTTTGATTATTTTCTTTAACTCTCTTCTTTTTTATTTTATAAATTAAATTTTAACTATATGACGATTTGATCTTTCTTCTATTAATAACGTTTATACACTATATAGTTTGTTTTCTACTCTTTTTCTTTCTCACACTCTCTCTCTCCTTTACCTTTACCAAACACTTAATGCAATACTACATTTTTAATGTAATTATATTTCTTTGTTTGGACCATAAAAACTAAAACGATTATTGTTTATTACAGCAAAACAAAATATGTTAAAAATAAAAATTCAAAAAATTCATCAAATTTTGTAAATTTAAGATACAAAGATAAAACTAATATTTATGTGTTTTTCTTTATTTTTTTTAATATTATTAAACAATAAATCAGGATACGTAGACTTTTTTAAACTAGATAAGAAAGTAATACGTTTAGGTCTTTAAATTAAAGAAAAAAATCTTGACTATAATCAATATTTAAGTATAAACCGAGAGTAAAATTGTGTGAAGATTTAAACAATTTACAGTTTTATTTGGAAATCAAATATCAAAATTTGCCATTAAAAAGGATTTCTTAAAAAAATAGATTTAACGGAGTTTCGTTAAATTACACAGGCCGACAAACCCTGAGACCAGATTATACTCTTCTAAAGGATTGAGCTGCGCTAAATGCGAATCTGATTTTCTCCTTCAAATCTGGCATATGAGATATCGTTTCCTTAAGTTTGAAAAAACGCCATTATTTGCCCTTTTTGAGACGTTATAACAGCGCCAAGACAACTTTATTTATAAAATGTTATATGTCAACGAATTCAGCGTAGCTCAATCCATTAGAATACTATAATTTGGTCTCTGAGTTAAAAACTTGTCGGCCGGTGTAATTCTTATATTATAAATTTACAGACACAACTCTTTAACTTTATACTTAGATATTGACTATAAAATATATCTAAACTCTTTCCCCCACTATCTCTTTCTCTAACTTTAATCCTTTCTTCTGCCTCATTGACATTTAAACATTTTATTAGCTTAAGTAATCAAGAAAAAAACCTTAAAATACAATAATTGTAATAAAAAGCAAAAACAACAAAAAATCAAGTTAAAATAACTTTTATTTGTAAGCATGATATTTCTTAATTTCAGAGAAAAATACACAAGTGGAAATATAAAAAAAAAATAATTATTATTACAATTATATCAAAAAAAAAAAAAAAAAAAAAAAATAAATAAAAAGCAAACTGATAAAAAAAAAACAAAAAATATATTAAAAAACCAACATTACAAGAATTTTATTAACCCCTTTACAAAAAAAAAAAAAAAAAAAAACTACAAGCAAGAAAAAAACTTGAACAAAACTTTATACTTTATTATTTTTAATTTATTTATATTTTATTTTCAATATTTAAAACTAAAGAGAAAAAGGAAAACAAACTCAAAAAAAAAAAGAACTCAAAATATGTTAAAACAAAAAACAAACTGTGATATAAAAAAAACTCTAGTTATTGTGATCATCTATTGCAACAAAACTGTGATATTTTTTTACAAAAAAAAAAAAGGAAAACCATTAAAGAGAAAAAGCTTTCTCTTATGACCCAACTTTAAACGAAAGTACTCTTTACAAGGAAATTATACATATATTTTCTAAATGTCAACGTCATTTTAGTTATGATTTCAATAGATTTCAAAGGTTTTAATAAGTTAAATACAATATTTTTTTTAAATATATTTATTATTTTCATTACTTTAATATTTAATGAGACACGAGCAGAAATTGAAAACTAATTAATATTAATTTAAAAAAATAAAATATTAATTAAATTGCTAAAACAAATATTACCTACTCGATATACATAAAATTAACGTGAATAAATAAATAAATTTTAACGGCATTAAAAGAAAATATTAAAAAAAAAAATAATAAGAAAATACTTTAAAACAAAAGCTCATAGAAGAATACTAATTAACAGTTGCCCTATAAATAATATTATTATCAATTTTTTTTAGTTTAATTTTATTTTTAAGTGATTTTTCAATTATAAATATAAAGAACTATTTGGTTACTATGAGCTTTAAAATTTTAGAAATTTAAAACCATTTAACAGTTTTATTAAGCGGCCTTTTTTTTAGAAAATTATAAAATTGTATTGGATTTTTAGAAAAGTGTTGTGGAAATCAAAAACTTCTAGTTCTAGAAGGAGTGTAAACAGAACGACTTCAGAGTCTTGAAAAACATGCATGGAACTAGTGTCTGCTCTCTCCCGAACATTGTTATGATTTTAAAGCATTTCTAAGGAGTTTTTAATAAACCAGTTCTTTGGCACTAGTTATACAAAGGTACTATATTAGTTCAGTGGAATGTATACTAGTTCCGAAACAACTTCTTGGAATTGAAATGTTAATAATTACGTTCAGAAAAATGCATTAAAAACGTTCATATATTTAATCTAAGGAATGGAACAATGAATAAACTGCGTTCAGCATCTGGATACGTGACATCCATTGTGAAAAATAGGATTTCAAAATATCATCAAAATTGAAACATATCCACACCCAATTCGGCATTTCGATGACGTTTCCGCTCAGTTCAGTTATACAACGATAGAAAAAAGAAATTCCAACAAAAAAAGGGATCTAAGAAAAAGAAGATACAATTCCATTTCATTTCAATGTTTAACGATTGTATGTATTCTGCATTACGATAACTATAGCTACGTTTTTAATAAGAGTCGAATCGATATATAGAATAACAAATGTGCCAAACGAAGACATTTTCGATTCGATCGAATTGAAATGATTCTAAACTTAATAATTTGAAACAAAAAACGTCGAGAAAAGAACTTGTTCCAGAACTATTTTAAAGAAGTTGGATATTTTATTTTAAAAACTTTCCTTGAACTCATTGTAATCGTGATAAATTCAAAGAATTTTTATTCAATTATTCACCCCTATTCTGAATTTCGAAACTTTCGATTCGAATTGTAAAGTTGCCAAATGGAGTGTGGCAATTTCGATTTGAATAGGGGTGATTGTACTCTTTCTTAAAATTGATTCCATTCTTAAGAATTTCAAACAAAAATCGCTGAGAAAAGAACTGGTTTCAGATGTGTTCTAAAGAGTTCTCTAAAACTTCCTAGAACTAGTTACGAGAGTGACAAATTCGAACAAAAATTATTCACCCCTATTCTACATTTCGAAACTTTTGGTTCGAATTGCTAAATGACACTTTCGATTCGAATTGAAATGCAGATAATGGTTCTAAACTTAATGATTTCAAACAAAAATAACTGAGAAAATAATTAGTTCCAGATGTGATCTAAAGAAAATTATTCTCATTTCGAAACTTTCGATTCGAATTGTAAATGGTGATGAATTATATCGAACATAAGTTTGAAATTTTGAATATTTTAATAAAATCATTAGATATTACTTTAACATTAATCGTTATTCGAATTTAAATTCGAATTCTAAAAATTACGAATTTCAATTTAAATTCGAATTTTCAAACAAAATATTGTCAAATGGATAAAACGCTGTTACAAATACTTTTCCAAAATCCAATCCAATTTTATTTAAATAAATTAATTAATTTTTAACTTCTTATTCAAAAATTTTAGACGCAAAAATTTATAATATCCTTAAAATCAATACAAATCTCGACGTTGAATATCACTTTTACATATAAAGATATTAATCAGTGTTAGAAAAACTACGTTGCTACCAAGTATTATATTATTGCTTTAACTACTGCTCCAAACAATTGTCTGAAGTTGTAGCAGTAGCATTTGTTTTGTTTTATAATCATACGTTTTTAAAACTTTTGCTACTTATAAAAAAGTAAATCTCAAAATATAGCAGTAGTAATAAAACAGTAGCAGTAGAAATAGTTCTAAATAAAACATAAACTACAAATGGAGTAGTAGCTTAAAAATATAAATAAAAATAAATAAAAATATAAAGAAATATTTGCTACTAGTTGATCGTTCTATTGCTACCAAATTATTGAAGTAGCAATAGAATAAAACAAAAAACTTCGACAAAAAAAAATAAACTAACAAATACACATATCTCAACGGGAAAAAGATTCAGTATAGGGGCCTTACTAAGGGCATTTTTCTATAGACACAAGTACATACAGCCGCATTGCAAAATCGTTTCAATTTTACATGCTTACTTAAAAAGGTCTTCCGTTAAAGGCTTTTTAGAAGATTTTCAGTCGAAGGATTTGTAAAATAGCCTTATAGGAAATTGCATTAATAATTATACATTAGAACTTATAAGAATTATATAAAGCAAATTTTCATACAAAATTTGATTCATAATTCTTTGATAAATGTGCAAGAATCCTTTTAGTAGAGGAAACAAAATCCTCCTTGAATATCTTTTGCGAAAAGGTAATGAGAAACTTTCATAATATATAAATATGTCTTCAGAAGGCCCACGAATCGAAGTCCTAGCATTTTTCCCAGCTACTTGTGCCTTTTTCTGAATGTCATAATTTTTTTTCGTATTTTAATAAAATTTTTATTTTTTTATGCTACCAAAATTTATGTAGCATTGCTACCAAAATTTTGATAGCATTGCTACTTTATTTAGGTAGCAGTTGCTACCAAATTTTTTATTGTTGAAAAATATAATATCGTTTATTGCTACTTCAGGAAAATATTTACTGCTACTATTTGAAGTATTCAACTGCTACATTGAAACATTTAAATACTAATGACTGTACTACTGCTATCAAACTTTTTATTTTTTTGCTACATCTATAAATACTGCTACCAAAATCTAAAGGTATCAGTAGTAATAGTAAATGATTTGCTGCTAGTTTTTGAACATTTTCTAACTACAAAAGTAGTTATTTTTCGTTACTACAGCTACTTGTAGTCTAGTTTTTTAAACACTGATATTAATAACTAAAAAAAGAAGGATTAAATATAATTTACAAAAGAAAAAGAAAATATAATTATAACAATTATATATCACCCAAAGTCAAAATAAGTAAGCAATAATTTAAAACAGTTTTACTGCCAAAGTTCCAAACAAAAAGACTGGAAAAAACACCTAAATATTTCTATAATTAACAAATTAAATCAAATCTAAAAGTTATAAGTGGTAAGTGAACTTTAAAGCAAAGCTTAATAAGTATACATTTTTTTTTCTTAAATCAATATTTAAAACAAAAAACAAAATATATATTTATACAACATATTAATAAGTCAATATATAAATTAATTTTATTTCAGCTAAAACAAAAACCAAACATAAGTATAAAAAAAATTAAATCAAAGATTTAAAATCAAACAATGGAAAAACGCAAACCGATTAGTTGTAAATCTGCAAGAG